CCCCAAAACCCCAAAACCCCAAAACCCCGCTAAGTTAAATCACTTTATGCGTAAACTAATCTAAAGTATATATAAATATTAAAGTAGGCTTGTAACTTAGCTAATATATATTTCTTTTCATAACGTTTTATCAAGCTTGAGCACTAAAATTAGATTATGAAGTTATAAAATATATTACATTGAAAACATGCCTCCACTAAAAAGGTAAACCATAAGTGAAACAGTCATAAATAGAAACACTTTAAACATTAACATATTTCCACTGCCTATGCATTTACTACTCCAGGGACAATGATGGTCAAGCTCCTCAATACAGAAGCCACAAGTAGTGCAATGCTCTGTCTCTGTCTCTTGCCTGTAAATTACTTTACAAATGTTGCAATATAAGTGCGGCCTATTTTTAATTAGTTATTGAAGTTGAATATCATGAAAATATGTTGGAGTAGATGTAATTTGTAAGGCATAATGCTTGATAACTTACCTCAATATTCTAACTTTATTAAGATAACTTTCAGAGTGAATGCTTGGATCCCGACTTGGAAGGCCTGGATTTTGCATTACAAGTATTAAAAATGAGAGGTCTTAGAATGCTAAAACTAACAAACCAATAAGAAACATGTAAGGGTGTTTGAATCTATCAGTAGAAAATACAAAATACCCCGCGATGCCGTTAATTACAATCAGCTCTACTAGTGAAAATATCCAATCAGGACCTATCACTATTTTTGGCTAGCCAGTGCTACTATACCAAAAGCATGTAAAGTATCCTAGTTTTCTTGGAGTTGGATTTTCTGTATAATACTCAAGACACTCCTTCAAAAAATCATTAGGGTTGTTTTACAATGAAACTGAGCGATAGGCTTGACTCTCAAGTTATTTCAACTAGTTTTACTTGAGATAATCCCGGTCTAACGATTTTCTTAGATTCTATGACAAATCATGACTGTAATTTAATTCCTCATCTTTAAAATCTTCATCTCTTGTAACATCATTTTCATTATCTAAATCATTTTCAGGTCTTGATGTATTAAACGTACTAATTTGGTTAATTTCATTATAGGGCTGCAAGCCTTCATCGTCCTTTCCTTTCATTATTTTTGATTTCCTATTCGGTTTTGATTTTTTCATATCTGCTAGTTCCACAGTATCTGTATCTAAGTCCTCTTCATTAAGCTTTTTATGATCTTTCTGATTCAACTTCTTATTTTAATTGTGTGACATTAAATCGATTATTATTTTTTCAATTTTTAAATATACAAAGGAAATAGTTATTTAAAACTCAATCTTCACTATATTTAATGTTTACGGGGTTTTGGGGTTTTGGGGTTTTGGGG